GTACTGGGAAAAATACTGATTGATCAATGCAGTATGAAGGTCTTGATTGAATACTGGGGTTGGTGCTGTTGCTTCCCGGCATGGAGGTTGGAAACAACAGCAATCGTGACCRGAAGCACACTTTCGGTCCTTGAGAACTGGGGATGGATCCAGCTGAGGCAAAGCACAACTGGGGGAATAGTAGTACCAGGAGTGATACTGATGCAGTATCAGCTGGGGATGTTGTTGTTGGCTTCCGGTACAAATGTTGGAATCAACAACAATATGACCGGAAAACTCTTCTGGTCCGTAATTAGAACTGGAACTGCAAGGAGAGAAGGCTGGGGATCTTGAAACTGAGTACGTGTAGCATATACTCCAAGCATTGTTCTTCAGGATCGGTCTGGATTGAATACTGGGGGGTGGGGTTGGGGTTGTTGCTTTCTGGCATGAAAGTCGGAACCAACAACAATCATGACCAGAAAACCGCTGGTGCGTCTGGTCCTTGAGAACTGGGGATGGATCCGGCTGAGACAACTGCACTCAACTGGGGGAGAATATCATAGGATTGGTCTTGGTTGAATACTGGGGGCTGGGGTTGTTGTTATTGTCTGGCATGGATACCGTGAACAACAACAACAACAATGTCGTGACCAGAAAGCACTGGTTCTGGTAAGTAAAATACTGGAACTGCATGGAAATGCTGGGGAATCTTCTTTAGAGTATGTATGAAGCATAAACTCCAAGCTTTGTTCTTCAATTAGTTGAATATTGGGGCTGGGGTTGGTGTTGTTGCTCTCCGGCACAAATGCCGGAAACAACAACATCGTGACCGGAATCACAGTTGAGTTTCTTGCATGGAGATGCTAGTAGAGAATCTTCTTCAGAGAACTTATGTAGCATATACTCCAGGCTTTGTTCTTCAATAGGCCTTCGTTGAATACTGGGGGCTGGGGTTGGTGTTGTTGCTTTCTGGCACAAATGCCGGAAACAACAACAACAATGCTCTCCGATGATTGTTTACTATGAGTCAAATGTGGAAAGTACTGAGTAATAGGGCAAGTGTTGGAGACAGAGACAAGCAACGCTTTGCTGACACTGGCCAGAATTGTTTTCTTGTAGACTCAATGGTAATATGTGAGCATGGAAGTAGGTGTATTTGATAAGAAGGTTTCCATATCCTCTGGGAATAGGTGAGCATGGGATGGGCAGGAGCAAGTGAGGATGGATGGAGTCTGAATGGTTTGAAAGATCTGTTCAATCAAGTCAAAGTCTGGTGCCATCATGGCATTTGCATAGACTTCCACATAGCCACATCTGGATTGGATTCTAGTGATGAGGGTCTTGCTGTCGCTGGTAAAGGTGACCCGTGTGGGGCAGATGGTGGTGGCATCTGAAGATGAAGATGAACTGGATGAGCACGCATTGCTGGTACTGCTGGTCTGGTGGGTAGTGGAGTGTCCATCAGAAAATAACTTGGCCATGTTGGACAAGTAATTTTCTGAGGTGTTTGCATGTGCACTGGTCCCAGTACTGGTAGGAAAAGCTGTAGAAGCTGTCAGAGCTGTAAATTTCTGATAAGTTGTGCTGTGGTACTGGTCTGGTGGTGCCACTGGTGAAGGTGCAAAAGTAGTAGTAGTAGTACTACTACTAGTATGACAGTAGTAGTAGTAGTAGTAGTAGTAGTAGTAGTAGTAGTAGTAGTAGTAGTAGTAGTAGTAGTAGAGTAGTAGTAGTATTAGGACTACTACTACTAGTAGTAGTACTAGTATGCCACAAGGAATTCCTTACTCACTCACCATGGTGGTGTGAATGAAGGAATCTTTGCCATAATGGCTCGTCTCTTGTGTTGAAAGCACACCAAATCCATTGAATCCACTACTACTAGTACTACTACAGTACTAATACCAAGAAAAGGACATGATGCTGTTTCATTTTCTTCTACTCCCTCTTCCTTTCCATACCATTATTCAGTGCTCTTGGTGTTGATCTTATTTTTTAAAGAAACACCTTCGGCCCATTTTGGACCTTAAGTTCCTAGAAGAATGCCCAATGATTCTATAACTTCATTCTACGACATTAGTACATTTATGTGGACCAAGAAATACAACAGCAATAATTCTATTGCACTTCGTTTCACCCCCGATGCTCAACGCAGCAGTCCTGAAAGGCACGGACCTTGGCCACCTTGGCTCCGCACGAGGTGCAAAAGTGTTCCGTTTCCTTGCACGAATCCGACACTAGAGGGACCCAGCAGAGAGGCCAAAAGACACCCGTCATGATTCCGAAGGCAACCCAGGTTTTGCACGAGGGCTTGGTGACCACTCTCGTCCTGGAGGCGCGGTGGCAGTTGGGACACTCCCTCATATTCATGGGGAAGCGCGAGATCGTGGGATCACTGTCCAAATAATTGTTGGTGCAAGAATTGGAAGAGGGGGGAGCTGTGGCCGGTGGTTTGGAGGCGGCGGCGGCACAGCAGCCTCCTCCGCTGGAGGTAGCTGTAGCAACAGGTTCCACAGGTGCCGAAGCCTGGTTAAGGTGCTGATTTAATTGCTGGTATTCGGTCGCGACTGCATCATCCGTGACAAGAGTCGCTACGGGTAGATCCTCAGTCGGTTGCGCATATCCAGCATTTGCCATTTCTGTGTTGCAATATGGTTTGGTTGCAAGCAACAACAGTAAAATATTATCATGCGGAGAGCAGAATACAGCACATAGCAGATTGCATCACAATTAGTGAACGAAATGAGAATTGAAAACAAGATATATAGGAAATAAGTTTGCCGATGCCAAATTATTTTCATTCCCCGGCGTCCCTTGTCATATTCATGAACAGGGAAGACGCAACAAATCTACGCACCCTTGTTGTTTCCAAACCAACTCATTCTTGATTATGCCTCGTCTCAGGAATGATATGATGAGTTGTGAAGCCAAAGATCTGCTCGCAAGGATATGTTCCCGTTTTTTTTCTTGTTCAGTTTTGATGGATTAATTGGGTCGATAAACGTCACTGCTCGCTTTTGATTGGCAAGTTCTTTTCTTCTTCTTTTATTTGAGCTTCGGTAGAGAGGGAGAATTAATCTTGCTCTGTCGGTCCGTCGAAGCACAGTTGTATTATGGATGTTTTGTTTGGAATAAAATTGCAGTTCGATTCGTTTCGTTTCGTTTCGTTTCAGTTGTTTTAAGAGAATCGAGGTCGGCGATATCGATGGGCGGTATGTTCGAAGATGTGATATCCGTAGAATGGTTCAGGCTCCGTTTCACATCTGATGCCTTTCGATAACGAAAGGCACGTCTTCCTTGGCCTCCGTGAACTGGAAGGAGGACGACTCGTACGAGCATGAGCACGTTCCATTAGTAGCACCTAATTCGCAAAGTACAGTACAGTACATAGTACCGTACTACCTACCGTGTGCGAAAGATTCCATTCCAGAATTCTGGCATCTGGAAAGCCGGCAGGCGTGCAAAATCGATTGTGATTGATATTTTTTCAGAAAGCACGACTAATTATTTACCGGACGGCAGTGCAGTATTGCGATTTCTACCTCTACGTATTACGGTACCTCACGTAGGTTCTCTTCTGTAGAAAGAGTACGTAATTTTGTAGAAGTATTTTGTATTTTCCAATACTGTAGTTACACACACACTGTATGCAGTATGCAGGGGTCTTCACTAGTAGTATTACTACGCGTTGCAGATCAATTGAAACTACGTTAAGTAAGGCATTGGGAACGTTAAATTAACGTTCCGTATGTTAGCGCTAACATTCCGAATGTTAATCTAACATTCTGTACGTTAGCGGAGTAGGCCTACGTAGGATCTCTACTAGCCCCGGTGGTGGCACGCCAGCAGCAGGCCAGCAGCTGCAGATCCAGCTGCTCAGCGAGGACCAGGATCAGTCTATTTCGATGGATCCTAGTACAAAGCTGTGTAGAAAATCCTGTAGAAAATCGTGGATCAAGGTACTTGCCTTGGGATTTTGGTCAAAATAGAAGGGTTCTTTTGATTGCAGGTACAAAATTGTACCGTGTCCTAGTGTCTTCACCTTTACCTACCTCCAGCGTGCTGATACAGCGTGCTGATTCCAGCACGCTAAACTGTTCTTTTCATTCTATCAAAAAACTCCCCGGTTCCAAGCAACCGACCATGGGAATCCGCTTTTAGAGCACTTACACTCACCCTTTCTTACTGTATTTGGTATCACTGGATAGCTCTCTTTAATTGTCGATTTAACACTGCTTGAACCATAGAAAAGGACCCAGTAGAAGTATTGTTTTAGTGTGTTACAGTAGCAACTCTTATTTTACGACGACTGCTTCTTCCGACGTCGGCAACCAGCAGTATGAGCAGGAAGGATCCAGCGGAGGATGAGGTTGCCAAGCTCCGATCCCAGCATGGATTAACTAGACTAACGCAACAAGAAAGAGCAGAGAAGCCTCACCCTTCTAGGGGAGGGAGTAGAGGATATGATGTGCATGTTAGACTGGCAGAACTGGCAAGGAGGCAGGCTGGTCTTCCTCCTGCTTTCGCTAGCAAGTCTTCAGTCAGCAGATGGGCAAACAGTAGGATCAAGCGCTATAGGATGACTGGAAACAATAGCCAGACCAAACTGGTATCTTGGGATCTCTTTGACATGGTTCTATTCATGTGGATCTATCCAACTGCAAGCTATGATGAAGTTGCGACTTTTATCTATAACAGATCTGGTAACATATACTGCAGATCACAGATCAGCAGGAGACTGAATGGTTTAGATATGACACAGAAGGTCCCCTCTACGGAAGCCTATCAAGCCTTCACTCCTGAGTGTATCTGGAGGGCTGAGACCTTTTGGAATGATCCCCCTCCATGTGGAGTAGTTGGTATTCCAAGGAGAAAGTTCATTGATGTGGATGAGTTTGGGATGGATATGAAGAGGACTAATGACAGGAAGGGATGCGCGCTTGCTTGCTTTAGAGTAAGGACTCCTGGAGCCTACAAAAGAGACATGAAGCTGACCATCTTGCTTGCTGTGGAGCCAGGGGATCCGCGTTTGCCTCCAGGGTCTAGAGGAAGTATCCAATATCCAAGGAGATGGATCAAGGTGATTCAGCAAAAGGGAACGACCTCCAGAATCTTTGCTAACTTTGTGGACAGTATTTGCAAGGATATCGAGGCTAATCCAGTGCCTGGTGATACTGATGAGGAGAGGATCTTCCTGTGGGACAATCTTGGCTCTCATCTTTCCACTGAAGTTGGATTGAAGTTGGTCTTTAGACCAGATCCAAAACCAACTAAGTTTCAAGCTATCCCGCGTCCTCCTTACCAGCCAAAGTATGGGCCTATTGAATTTAAGATCCTTGATCTAGTGTCAGCAGTATCTAGAGAGGCGAGGGCTGACTGGGGACCTAGTGAGCTTGAAGCAGCGCTCTACAGGGAGGCTGGTAGGTCTATCAAAGGCATTGATGCTACCTTTGCTCACTGTGGATACAGTTTGGATGGAAACTATGATGATTAGTCGATAGGAAGAAGCAACAGCACCTCGATGGTCTCCAGCACGTGAGCTGGATTCAGCGAGTAGCTGTAATGGGCTGGAGCAACCCACTAGAGACTGGCTTGCTGGGGAGTCGACTCCTTCTGGGCCTATGAAAATTGAATCCTACTGGAGACGCTTGGATTCCAGTCCCCTGGAGCAGCTTCATCCTTGGATGCTCGATCGGTTCGGATGAATTGACTAGATGGATTGAATTACAGTTGGTTGAATCGATTGAATACAGCAGTCGCTTGAATCGATTGACCAGCATACTTAAGCTTAAGAGGGATGGGTATCCCTTCTACATCAGTACTATTTGTATACAGTTTATCTTTAGTAAGGATCATATCTACCAAGAGTAGTTGCAATAGACTTGAGCAACACACCAAGGACCAGCGCGCTGACCACGCGACTCGTCCTGGGCCTACAGCTTTCTTAGAATATACTGCAGCGCATCTGGAATCATGACGATTCATATCTACTAACTTTGCTGGAGGAACTGCTGTTTCCACTTCCACCACTACCAAAGCTGCTCATACTATCATCACTCCTCTTCATCTTCCTCTGAGCCTCGTATTCTTCCTTGTGTTGTTTCAAATACTTAGCTCGACTCTGCTCAAACAGCTCCTTTGCCCTTTTCTCCTGTGCTGCAACCCTAGCTGCTTCTGCTTTCTTCGCTGCTTCCTTTGCTGCTTTCTTTGCTTCCGTCGCCGCTTTCTTTGCTTCCCTTGCTGCTTTCTTTTCCTCCTTGGTTGGTGGTTCCTTGGTTGATATATTTGCTACTCTTCTTGCTGAGCGTTTCTTTCTTGGAGGACCACGACGCTTGTTCCCTGCACCGGGAGGAGGCTTCTTCAACCCTGCAGCTGGAGGAGGCTCCTTCCTTGCTGCAACACCAGACGCCCCAACACCAGCTGATTGCCATCTAGTACTAGTAGACAATCTAGTATCCAGCATCGATTCAGCTGCTGGTACTGGCATACGAGCTGGCAACTGAGCAGCTCTAGCAGCTTGCAACCGAGCAGCGCCAGCAACTGGCAAAGCAGCAGGAGCAGCCGGCATACGAGCAGCCGGCATACGAGCAGCCGGCATACGAGCAGAGCCAGCAGCCGGCAACTGAGCAACCGACATACGAGCTGGCTTCCTGGCTCCTGGCCTCAGTCCAAGCTCTTTCTTTTTGACCCACACCATGTTATCCACAACCACTTCCGCGTCTGCATCATAGATATTCCACATATCTTCAACAGTATTCCTTGTCCCACGAGCTGGTGTATCAGTGGAAGCTGGATTCAACTGTTTCATAATCATATCAAGGGCATCTTCAGTATCAGGACTGCTCTCCCTAGAACAGTATCTCCTGGTAGATACTTGCCGCACCTTGGTAACAAAGGAAGAGGAACCACCACCACCAGCAGCAGCAGTCGCGGCAGCAGCAGCAGGCGTGTACTCCTCCTCTTCCTCGCTACTGCTTAAATCAGCAGCAATATCAATGACATCCTGGCCAGCAGCAGCCCTCAGCCTAGAGGCAAGAGGATCATACTTTGCTGGCAACCTCGCCAGCCCCCGGTCCCCACCAAGATCATTCCTGTGCCCCCTATCACTGTAGTTTCGATTGCTGTAGTGTCTTGCATTCCTCCTCTCACTAGCAGAAAAAGAGACCGGATGGGGGGGGTGTTGAAATGGGACCCTAATGGACTGCTGCTGCCGCGACTGCTGCTGTTGCGACTGCTGCTGCCGCGACTGCTGCTGTCGCTGCTGCTGCTGCTGCTGGGCAGACACACCCATCCTCCTCCTAGTGGGGGCATCCCCACGCCTGATCTGATGAATGGAAAGACCATGTTCCTTGGTAGTCAATCCCCTAGGAACCTGCTTTTGCACAGCATTCCTGAACCCAAGATTAGACTGAAAGTGAATGTCTTTCTTCAAATGATCAGCAGCATATCCAATAGCGTCCTGGTTGAATTCATCAGTCTCCAGTGGATGACAGCCTTCCCTTGCAGCATCCAAAGCGCCCTGAAAGAGATGGTGGGAAACAACGTTGTTCAACTGCTCTAAAGGATTGTCAGCATAGTCATCCTGTGGCAATGGACCATTAGCCTCCCTCTTTTGATTCATTTTGCACTTCCATGTCTGGCTTGCATAGAAATAAATCTTGCAGCTGCAGTTGCAAAGAGGACAGTGGCAAGCGACTGGCACGCCATTCTCATACTCCAGATAGTCAGCGCCAGGCTTGCTGCATTCAGGACAGTTCCCCCCAGCAGTATCCAACCTGCAAGAGATCTGGCAACAGAAGCAAGCCATCCTCACATCCATTTGATCATTATTCCTTGGACGCCCTCGAAGGTTACTGTTCTCAGCATCATAAGCAGCAACAGCCTCCTCGTGCTTCTTCCTCTGCCTTTCATTATACTGTTCAACCTCCCTCAAGTCGTCAACTGGCATAATAGAGTAGTGTTTGCAAACAAGACAGGGATACTGATCAAGCAGTGTTGGATCAAACTCGCAATCATCCTGTACCCTGGGCCCTCTCTCCTGGTAATAGATTTTTCCTTTGTTCTTTCCTTTAGTTGCTTTACACCGGTCGCTTTCATCGTGATCCTTCATTGCCTTCTTTACTGCTTTGGCAACATCCTCAAGCTCAGCTGCAGCTGCAGTGGTCCTTCTGCTTTCCCTTTTTTGATCTTGGTCACTCCTCCCCTTCCTGATCTCCATTCCTGT